GATATTTTTATATATAGTGCTCAATATTAAAAAATATTAAAATATTAAAAATAAAGTGTTAATGATATTATATGCAAAGATTACTTTACTTTTAAATATTAATTTTATCCCAACATCAATGTTTCTTGGTAAAATTTCCAGGCTTCAGGGGCTGTGATTAAATGGTATTTCCAATTTTTTTCATTTTGTTCCATGTCTTTTTCAGTTCATTTTTTTTACTCCATTTTGTGCATGTGCATATTCATGAATTTAACAATCTTTTACACACACATGTTCATGAAATTTAGCTTTTGCTTACGTCTTTCATTTTTTTCAGCTGTAGATGTTTCTTCAAGTTGTAAATTGTCTTTAAAATTAAATTTTATTTATTAAATTTTATTTTTTTAATATTTTAATTGATTTATTATGTTGTATTATTATTAAAGTATCAAAGTAAATATTTGTTAATATGTTGGCATAGACCCATTATTTTCTTCTTTTTATTTAATAACTTAATGTGATTTTTAATGATTTTATTTTAAAATAGGAAAATAGGCAAATAGCACAACACTGTCAAAATATATATGGAGTCAAAAACAAAATAATATACCTACTATAGTTAACTGGGAAATTATAAAAAAAACTATCCCACATATAATATTACCAATAGGAACTGTAGACTATGTTTAGAAGAAAAATTATCAATATTAACTTGTAATAATCAAATTAAATTATTAAATAAAAAGAATGAAATAATGGGTTGATGTCAACATATTAACAAATATTTATTTTGTTAATTTAATAATAATACAACATAATAAATCAATTAAAATATATTAACTAAAATATTCTAATTTAATTAATATTAAAAAAAAAAATAACAAATATTACAATTTAATTGATAATATAACATATCTATATAAACCATAAAAAAAATTTAATTAAATTTTGAAGAAAAAATTTACAACTTGAAAAATCTATAGCTGAAAAAATGAAATACATAAAGAAAAGAAAAATTTTATGAATGTGTGCATGCAAAAGAACATTAAATTCATGAATACATACAGAGTAAAAAAGCGGATTGAAAAAGGTACAGAACAAAGTGAAAAAATTGGAAATACTGTTTAAAACCACAACCCCTGAAGACTACAAATTTTACCAAGAAACATCAATGTTGGGATAAAATTGATATTTAAAAGTTAAGTAATCTTTTCATATAATATATATATATATATATATATATATATATATATATATATATATATATATATATATATATATATATATATATATGTATAGGGAAGAGGATATAGTTGATCCAATGAGAGAAAAGTATATATATTAAATAGATGAGAAAAAAACACAATGGTTTTTGGTTGTAATGTGGATTTTTTAAGAAACATATATTATTCTTTATTTTCCATAATAATATATATATATATATATATATATATATATATATATATATATATATATATATACTAGATTAAAAGCTGCCCTACTGGACAGCATTTAAGCTGATTCCTGCAGATGGCTCTCAATTGGTCCTTGATCACTATATTTAGGGAGGAGTAGATGCGATAAGCAACAATAAACTACAGAAGAACTGAAAATTAATCAATGCATTCAAGTATTGCATTAATATTTAAGCTTACCCTCTAAAAGAGCAATGATAATTACTCTGCTGCCACTTAATTTGAAGACAGTTTGATGTCCTTACTTTCTGTATAAACAATTATTTTTTATTTCACGGGTGACTTTCACCAGATTTCACAATTAATTTATTGTTATCATACAAAAAAAATGTGGCAAAAAATCACTTAAAAAAATCCAGAAAAACAATCACTGTAACGAAAATTTGGGAAAAAAAATTTCAGGATTGTGGGTCCGGGTCCGTACTGGAATGTTTTTAATTTGCTCACAGAGTCAGCCTGATTCCAAAATGCTATGATATGTTGGGCTACAGCCTCAAGGAGTAAAGTTGAAAAAGTGTGACACACTGACATTCACATTTATCATATATATATATATATATATATATATATATATATATATGTGTGTGTGTGTGTATGCACAAAGGAGAGAGAAGGCTGTAATTTAAAACTTTTAAGTCTTATTTTATGTTTTTTTTATATGTGTTTAGGTGTATAGTTTAACCAATTTCATTTAGTTTCCTTTTCTTTTTGTTTATATTTTTATCACTTTTTTAAAAAGTATCCCACACTGCGATAATGGAAGGTCTATGAAGAAAGGGGAAACATTGTAAGAACTTGGACACAAATTTACTGTGGATGATCGAGCAATTAAATCAACTTCTATTCACTTTTGTTTTCATAAATTGCTTTCTGTTTTAATTAAGGCAGGATTTTTTGAAATCAAAATGATAGTCATCAATTAATTAAGATTATAGTCATCAATTTTCCTAACATTATTCTGCAACAAAATAGATAGATAGATAGATAGATAGATAGATAGATAGATAGATAGATAGATACAGATATATAAAAATATAAGAAAAGAAGTTGAAAATGGAACTGGAGTCATTAAGAATATTTATTTACATTGACTTTACTGGTTACACAGTTTTATGATTTTCAAAAGTTAAATTGAGATGAAGAGACATGTGATTATGCCGTAATATGTCTGACATCTGTGATAAATGGTAAAAAACCAAACCAATCTCTCCATTAATCTGCTCCAGGCCATGGATTGATTCCGACTTACATCAGTGTAAACAAAATGAAGGGCCTGGTGTATGTTCAACAAAGAACCTAAATGTCAAATATATCTCATTTAGAGCCATCTCAATATATTGCTTTGGTGAGAATAACAAGAAGCCTGTTGGTTCCAACAAGCATAGTTCTTTATTCATGGATTCAAAATGAACTGCCTTCAGATTTACAGCATAACCACATGTCTCTGCATCTCAATGTTGCTTTTGAAAATCATAGAACTGTGAAAATAGCAAAGTTACTATAAACAGATATTCTTAAAGACTCCAGCTGCATTTTGAACTTCTTTTTCTTATATATATATATATATATATATATATATATTCAGCATATATATATATATATACAGCATATATATATATATATATTCAGCATATATATATATTCACTATATATATATATATTTAAGTAAATGCTCTTTTTATAATAAACAGTATTAACAACATTTATCGGCCTGAATGTCTGAGAAATTTTCATAGAATATATGCGTTCTCCAACAAAAAAAAATATCTTAAAAAATAATTGTCGAACTTTGCCGATTTCATAATATATATATATATATATATATATATATAATGTGTAATTTGTAGGTCTGATGAATTGGGTCGTGATTACAATTTCAATGTAATAAATTATAACCATGGAATATTAGTGTTTGAGCCTTTCATATTATATCATATATATATGAATATAAAAGTAAACAGGCCACCCTGACAATTGCTTCCAGTATGAAACAGCTTGTCACCTGTGAATGTTCACTTTTTTATTTATATTTACACAAGCTCTATCTCTGATATTGAGCACTTTATCCCATAAATATGCCACACCTTAAAACTATATTTCTTCATATATATATATATATATATATATAAATATGCATGTCTTTGTGAAACAAAAGACAAGAGGAAAGAATTTCATCCTCTGAGGGACTTTATCAAAGCAATGTAGGAATTATTTTGTGTGTTTATATACAAGAGCAAGGATGTCATTCATTCATAAGGATTTATATTTGAGAATGTTCCTGAATATTCATATTTATAAATATATTTCTTAGGAATTGATCAATTTCTTTTCAATCTGACATTTTTATTAATTCAAACATTGTTATAAGATCTATTTACTGCAAGATGAAGTAAGATGTATATATATATATATATATATAAATATATATATATAGACTGGTTAATGAAATTTGAGGAATAAAAAGACAAGAAAATGATAACAATATTGGCAATAATATTAGTGATATTTATTATATATTAACTTTTTGACTAAATTGATGGATGAGGAGAAAGATTTTAGAATTAGAAATCTTTCTCTTTATGCCTTAATTTAGTCAAAATATATATAAGTATATATAATAAGTTTCTATCAATCTTATTGCCAATATTGTTATTTTTTTGTAGTTTTTTCTTCTCAAATTTCATTAACTCACCAATCAAATCTACATTTTATAAGAAGCACATGTGGACCATATTTTAATTATATATATATATATATATATATATATATATGCTCATGCATGTATGTATATTTGTTTACACATATTTGATATATGCTGCTTTTCTTATCCATTGTATCTTTCATTTCAGTTTTTGCTCTTATTATTTATTTTATTTTTATTTTGATAGTGTTTATTTTTTTTTATTACTTGGATAATTTTAAGGAATGAAAAAGAAAACTTAATTTGAAACTTTGTTTTTTGAAAATATAATACATATATAATTTATTGATGGCATTTCCTCTTCTGGAGGTGAGATGGTTTTTAAGCAAAAAGACTTCATACAAGTTTGCAATTTTTTTCAGATTTCTTAAAAAAATTTCCTCAATTATTATATACACACACACATACACATACATACATACATACATACACACACACACACACACACACACACACACACAGACATACACACACACACATACATATATATATATTAGGTAGAATATCTTCATTCAAGCATGTTTGGTTGAATAATCTGGACATATTGCATCTATTTATTTTATTTTAATCCTCTCAAATTCACAGATCAATTTCTTAATGTTTTTATTAAAATCATTAATGAAGGCACCATAGTTTATCTCATTTCTTTTATTTTCCCAAGTACTTTCAACCTCATCCACGACCGTCTTCATCATGAATTTTATCAGTCAATCTTTAGATTGATTATAACAGAGCACATTCACTCATGCTAATAATAATCATATCTATCAATTACATTATTTTTTATCTTAGCAATTCACCCTTGAAGATGATCTACAACTTTAAAGATTTACAGCTACATAATGTTAAAACACGAGTTCACTTACAATCAATGAAGTTAAGCAACATCAAGCCTGGTCAGTACCTAGATGGGTGACCATTTGGGAATACCAGGTGCTGTTAACTTGGATGTATATTTGGTGTTATGGATCATGGCTTGGAATTGTTAATCAGCGAGCAATGTTCCAATTCACATTGGGTTTGTGATATTCACTTATGTACAAATATCCTTAGGAAATGTATGAATCTACCTCTTCTCCCCCCACCTATGGATTAATTATTAAAACTTGTATCTCTAGATTATTATTATTATTATTATCTCAAAAAAAATTCTTACAATTTAAAAATATTTTCTGGTTTTAAATAACCTGCAAAGGGTTGATAAGCCATAAAAAATTCAATCAATCAACTACTCCATTAAATGCTATTTTGTAGATACCTATGAATAAATGGCCTGTTTTTTAAACTATGTGATTGTGAATCTACTGGCCTGCACATTCAAGAGACTTAATAAAAAAAATGTACTTTCTGCTAAAGTTCAAACATGTCTCCTCCTTTATAGGAGAAACCATTTTTTTAGCCATTTCACCACAATCAAGGCAATAAAGCCACTAAGATACAAAAAGTTACTGACTATGAAAGAATATAAGAAAAAGAAAAAGATTATTATGGAGAGAGAACAATAAAAGAACAAGAATTAAGAAGAAATAATGATTGAGATTGCATTTAAATATTTGAAGATCAAATTAGATTGGAATGCAAGAAGCTGGAAGAGAGTTCCACAAGTGAGAAGTGCACAAAAAGAAACTGTTAATATAGAACTTGCAGTTACATTTAACCATTTCAATTGCAAACGCATAAGGCCTTACTGCTGATTTAGTAAATCTTTTAAATTCCTAATGTTGAGGTACAAATGAGCAAAGTTAACACAAACAACCATGAAGATGGGGTGGGGTGAGGGGTGACATTACATGAATGGGAAATCATCAAGCCATTGCACAATTTCGCCTTGAATGTCACCATGAACCACAATTACAACAGGAATAAGGGGAGTTTTGCCCCACTGTGGGGAAAAATTAGATTATTCCTATTCTTAAATTCTCTTCCTTATTCGTATTATACAACAGATATATCTTTTAAAAATTTTCATAAGGCTAAATTTTGTCTGTGTGACCCCCACCTTATATCAACAGAACAAAACACTCTGCATTGTTAAGACAAAGAATATCAGCCATTTTTATATATAAGGAAAAACTGCATTTACAACATAACTAGTAACATTGATATGACAAATTTTAAAAGTATATTTTAATAAATATTTCACTGTGTTATCTTTTTTTTAATCAACTATGTAAGGCAATAAAGCCACTAAGACACAAAAGGGTGAGCAATAGAAGAGTAAACATGAAGACAGTATATAATGACCGACATTGCATTTAAGCTTTTGAAGATCAAAGTTGACTGGAAAGCAAGAAACCAAAAGGGAGTTCCTCAATTGAAAAGTGAAAGAAAAGAAACTTACAGTTACTTTGAGCCCATTCAACTGTAAACCAATGGGGCCTTGTTGTTAATCTAGTACTGTGTTTAAATTTATAAAGTCTAGGTACCATAGCATAAAGCTAATCAGAACAATTACCATGAAAGTATTTATAGAAAAGGCACAGTGATGGTAGTGGGAAATTGACTGTAGTTGAGATGCCAGATCAGGACTGATAACATTGCAGATTCTTTTTTGAATTTTATCAAGAATTTCCAAATACACAGCAGAAACACAAGACCATATTTGACAACATGAACAAATGGTAGACTTATGAATATGTAAAATAGATTCTGGCAATAAAAATTGTCTAGTACAACACACCTAACCTTGCAAAAAAAACCCCAAAAAACTACCAATTGATTCATTACAACCTTTCCATTTCATGTCAGTGGAAAACTTTTAGAAGGTGCATAGAGTCACTCTCCTGAAGGTTAGCATTGTCCATATTGATGGAAAGCAAAAAAGTTCTCACAGACGATTCATAGAGAAAAATTTAATTTTGGAAGTGTCAAAACTAACAAGCCATTTCTTGCCACAATTAACAACAGATTTTAGGTCATTTTTTTTAGCTCATCTGCCAATTTTACTTTATAAGTGTTGAAATTAACAAGCCATTTCTTGCCACAATTAACAACAGATTATAGGTCATTTTTTAGCTCATCTGCCAATTTGACCTTATCATCAATCAGAGTTACTAAGACAGGAGTAAATAGTTGTGTCATCAGCATAGATACCAAGTTGAGAACTGATGACATCAAGAAGGTTGTTGATGAAAATTAAGAACAGCATATCTCTAACCGACATTAATGTAAACAGATCCAGATGAGTGGCCATTCAATCAACTTTCATTTTGCAAATTGATAAAAAATATTCCAGTGTGAAGAAGAACCTGTCAAATGAGATATACAAAGCAACAGCCTGAGCTTCGACCTTCTTATCCGAGGCTTGATAGACTCTTTCAGCAATAACCATTAAAACATCAACAGTTGAGCTAGAGAAGTAAAAGCCATATTGCTTTAGACCATTCAATTACAGAGAGCATACCAAATCTGATTGTGATTTCTCCTATAAAAACATGATGCAAGTTTGAATCCTACTACATAGAACATTGTTTTATTAAATCTCTCAAATTTGCTGGCTGATAGATGTAAATTACACTGTTTCAAATATGGGGTGCTCCTCAAACATGGATATCAACAAAATAACATTTGCAGTAGCAGAAAATAATCTGATAAAAAAATTCAATAATTCCTTATATTACTTTACTTCCATCTTTTATATATATATATATATATATATATACATATTGAGTTGTTGTCAGAATGACGATTTCAAATTGTTGAAAGTATTTGGCATGTGTTTTCCATCTGACAACTTTAATATAAGGATTATTCAAGGAATTGATAGTAAGTTAATGTCTACTTAAGTCTTGTTAGTAAAGTGATTTCGCCATTAATCACATTAACATTGCTATTTAATTCTTTGTATAAATTGTTTCTTTATGATATGAAATATAAGCTGCACACTCTAATATATATATATATATATATATATATATATATATATATATATATATATATATATATATATTGTGTGTATTTAGGTAGCAAATTTTCTTTAAGGCAAATGGTATTAAAGACAACAGATATCAAGTGTCCATTAATTTTATTGATTGACTTTTCAAAATTATGAATAATCCTTCTCTGACCAGAAGGAAATCCCATCATAAATTGTCAAAATTTCATATTAGAAGATATATGATCCAAGCTTTCAAAATTCTTAAGTCACCATCAGGGTTGGTAGAGACAAATGGTGAGTTTTGTAGAATTGGTGAGTGTAGAAAGTCAAAAGCTTGAAGTATATTTCTTCTGACATAAAGTTTAGACAATTTCTGACCAAATTTCTTCCTTATCAGAGAATGATTATTCTTAATTTGCAAAAGTCAATCAATAAAATTAACTGAAACAAAATGTCTGCTGTCTTTAATACATACATACATACAATGCACAAAAAATGTCTTTTATAATGACTTATTCAAGCCAAAACACTCAGTAAAGTTTGGGCAAGACCTAATGCAAACTACTGAAAATTCTTTTACACCTTCAACTAATCTACTGATAGGAGAATCTTGAGAGAACACCTCATGCCTAAATATAACCAATATATATATATATATATATATATATATATATATATATATATATAGTTGACTCTCCTATCATGAATGATAAATGAGAGTCAGCATTGCATGGTGCCTTTTGTTTTACACTTATGCATGCTAGCAGGGGCTATTGTGGGGAAAATCAGGTAAGGGAAAGACATTTTATTTGTGCTTTCTTAAGTGTGATTCTCATTCAGACTTGCTGCAGGCGACAAAGCCACACTGACAGATGATATTTGTTAAAGCAGGATTTTGATGCCATCTCTGCTTCAGAGCTTGATAAAGCTGATCATGGTGCTTCAGTCTACTGTCTTCAAAACCCTTTAAGTTAATGAAACATGTCTTATGCCACTCCTTTTGGCTTGATGCTTGGGCTTCCCAGGTTTTTAGATCAAAGTTGAGACATTTCAAGTTGCCTTTCAATTTGTCTTTATAGTGTAAGTGGGGATGTCCAACTGAATGCTTGGAGTTTGGTAGTTTTCCATACAGAACCTTCTTTGGAAGCCTATGCTCATCCAATCTCACAACATGACCAGCCCACCTAAGTTGTATCTTTGCTACAATGGTTTCAATGCTTGTGATGTTGTTACATTTCTTCAGTATTGACCCTGTCATACCATTTTATATCTCATATGGCATGAAGACTGTGCATGTAAAAGGCGTCAAGTTGCTTTATGTGTTTGCAGTATAGGGTCCGAGTTTTACCACCATAGATAATGGTTGAGCAAACAACTGATCTGTATATGTGCATCTTTACTCTGAGAGATGCATCTTTGGTGTTCCATAACCTATGTTTGAGTTTTAATATATATATATATATATATATATATATATATATATATATATATATATATATATTAAAACATTAAAACAACCCTTATTCCCCCATAGCTAAACACTACAATCAATCAGGACACACATTAGAAAACTGCAAATGTTTATTAATAGATTCCGATTTTACTTCCACATTCACACGCAGAAAAAAAGAAACATATTGGATTTTAAAATTAAATACACATAAACTAGGGTTGAATAGGGACTTAGGTGTTTTAAATCTTTATAAATATTTCAATAGTTAAGCAATTTTTTTAGATATAGTAAAAAAAATTTTTTTTAAATATTTATGACAGTTAGATTTAAGTTAGGAATATCCGAACAGTTACGTTCCATATCACGTGACGTCCGCGTCTCGCGAAGGAAGCTACTTGCTAACAAACATAATTTTAATTTATTTGTAACAAACAGTTATTTCTGATGAAAAATTGAGGACAATTTGAAATATCAAATATATATATATAAATAAATACTTTCATAAAATAAAACATTATAATTTTTAATTTGAAACTTTTTCTTTATATATATATATATATATATATATATATATATATATAATTGGGAGAGAAAGCAGATCAAAAAATGAA